TATATATATATATATATATATATATATATATATATACATACCCACACTGTATTCATATTCTTATACATACACTTATTTTTGCTGAATCTTTTAGGAATTAGGCATAGACATCATTACATTTTACTTCAACTCCTAAGGACAGGAATATTTTCCCTATACCATTACAGCATGAATACCATAATCTTACAATCCTATTAGCTAATATAAATCCATATTCAAATTTCTTCAATTATCTTAATTATGTACTTTACAGCTATTTTTTTAAAATCCAGGACCTACTCAAGAATCACACATTGCATCTGGCTGCTGGTTGCCAGACCTACAACAGTTCCCAAACTATTTTACCTTTCATCACATGGACCTTTTTGAAGAGTCCCAGCTGGCTGTTCAGCAGAGCATACCTAATGTGAATCTGCCTGATTATTTCCTCATGATCACATTCAGATAAATTTTTTTTTTTTTTCAAAGCGCCACTTGCAGGATGCTGTGGGTGCTTTTTCACTATAATGCCTCCATTTCAGATGAGCAGGTCCTGAGCCTTCAGGACATTTCAAGTCTTGGTTTGTAAGACAGGGTGACATATGTGTTCACTGTGTACCACGTCCTCTGATCCGGAGGCTGGGCAGTAGGGAAGGGCCAAGGAGCAGGAAGATCCATCACAGCTTCAGTGTCAGCAGTGAGTTCTGCCAAGCTGGCTGCTGGCTGTGGGGCACTCGTGCTGGGCAACTGGATCAGAGATAAGAACTCCTCCTTTATGCCAGGAGCTCCAGTCGGTGGCTGGTGGCCAGCCAGCTCCCCAGCCAATGGGTCACCTGCTGCTACAGCCACTCTCTGCTACTGCAGCTGCAAGGGAAACAGGAGTGTGAGGGAGGGGGGTCATGCTACCGGAGGGAGCCAAAATAAAAAAAAAAAAACAGAATGAAAAAGATAGGAAGGAAGAAAAGCAAAAAAGAACATTTTTTTTTAAAAGAAGACAAACCAAAAGAGTGGGAGACACAGAGGACCTACACACTAGAGAGGGAGCGATAAGCACAGAGATGGAGATGGAGAGAGAAACCGAAAGACTCCAACACACGCGCACCTAGAGAAAAGGAAGCGCCAGCTGACCCACCCAGCGCCTCCCACATCTGCTTCTGAGGCTCTTTGGCTTTGGGAACTGGGACAACGAAGAAGAGAGAGTTTGTGTTTGCACCGGTCAGGCTCAGAGGGCACAGGAGTTTCCCCAAGGGGCTGTGTGAGGTCACCTGCTCAGTCTGTACTTTTCCAAACACAGAACTTCTCCCTTGTGCCCCAGAAGTCAAGCCCTGGGTCAGAAGTTTCCTGCTCCAGCTCAGCACATCTCTCCCTTTCTGCAGGGCTGTCAGCAGACAGGGCAGCCGTGCAGGGACACAGCTGGGGTGAAGAGGAGGAGCCGCAGAGAGACAGACAGAGGGAAGGACCCAGGGGAAAGAAGGACACTAAAAATAGCCTTCCCTCTG